TGTGGGTGTGGGTGTGTGACAATGCAAATCACACCCTTTGCTGTGAATTCCTTGTTCAAAAAAATCTAAAATCTTTGATGAGGAGCCTTGGAATAGTTGGCTCCAAGTTACACGTGAGACTTTGCTTTCATAACACAGGACCATGAACTTCAGAATGGGCCCAATGAATAGTCTCTAAAAACAACTCATTCAGTGGTTCACTCATTTATTTATTTGTTCTCTCACTGCCTCACCGAACACTTACTCAGTGCTCACCATTTCCTACGTGCTTTCCTAAGCACAGGAATTTTAAATGATGAGAAAAATGCCATCCTCTGTAATTTGAGAAAAATCACCATTTTCCTAATGAATGGAGGTTGTTGTAGCATCTGGACTCTGGGTAAACAGCACGGAAGCCTCCGAGTATTAACTTTGGGATATTACACCCTGAAAAACCCAGAGGAAGATGTTGCCCTTGTAACTTAACATAGCGCACCTTCCAGTACCTCCATCTAAACAGACCGTGGAACTGAGCCAGAAGGTTACCTTGCTCTTCAAAGGGAAATGATACAACTTCACTTACGATCCTCAAGTTGTCAGTCCCACTCAAAAAGAAAGACAGGAGCCCATTGAAGTCCTTACTTAATGTCTGGACACAAAGATTTAAGTTCTCTAAAGGCTGGGAAATATAAGAAGAGGTAATTATCAGGTGACAATTATAAAATATTTTCCAACCTGTCTCACAGGGACACAATTTGGAGCACAAATAGGAGAAATGTACTCTGCAAATGCTCAGCAGCTCCAAGAAAGAATCATTATACTCACCATGACAACATTTTAGCTTGGGGCTTTACCCCTGACCATTGCTGCAGACTCAGGGTAATACATCAGTGAAGTAAGGTCACTTAGTAAATGGACAAAATTTTACATTAAGATCAATCAAAGAACACCAAAGAGCCTTTGGCATACAGGCTGGTCCCTCTAAAATGATGTTAAATAGTCCTGTTGAGATGTTAGAGGCCAATGACTGGGAACCAGAGGGATTTATGTGTACATGAAGGTGTCAGGGGACTAGTCACTTAGAGAGAAGCAATTAGACTGTAGAGACCTAGCTTAGTTTGTGAAGCACTAATGTGTTTACATTCCTTGGGGTTATTTCTTCTTAATAGTGCAGATATCTCCAGCAAAAGATTCAGACTTAACTTCCCTGGTGGCAATCGGGTGGGATCATGAGAGGGGTACTAGAAAGTAGGCTGGGAGGTTATAAAAGTTGTGTTGCCCCACGTCAACGTGGCTTCCTGAAGTTCATATGAAAATGGTTGCAGGTGTAGTAATTCCTGTCTTTATAAATGGAGATGACAGTGCCTGCTTCACACCCCTGTTAGGAGGAGCGTATAAGTTAATATTTACGTTTTTAACACAGAGCCTGGAATACTGTAAACTCCCATCAAACGCTATAAAACAATTGCAAGTCTTACTTTCTGTGTGTGAGAAAGCCCCCATTCATATGAGTGTCTATTTTCTCCAGAAGAAAGCCTTTATTCCTGGGAGGCCTTAGAAGTCACTGCGAGTTAACTCCAAAGACCCTTCCATGTAGCTGTGGGTTTGGAGTGCGTGTTAATAACTAATAGGTGGAGAAATAAGACAGAGGGGAATCAAAATGTGAGCTGCTTAAGTTGTCGGCAAGTTGGAAGACAAGAATTCATCTGCAGCACATTTGGTTTAGCCACTGAGTCACAGACAAAGCCAAACAACCCTGGGACTCACACACACACACACAATTCCAGCTATATTTCTATGTAGAAACTATAACATGGACACCAGGAGCTGAGAGATGATGTTTTTCTGGATGCCCTTTACCCAAGCTCTTCCTATTTGTGATAATTCCCCACTGTGTGAAAGCTGGTGAAAAGCAAAGAGTTAAAGGAACAAGTCTGAAAAATTAAGGAAAGTATAAGAGCAGTGTCTCTCCAAATAGAGAAATCAATTAAGATATAGATTCTAAAAAACAAATAGAAATTCTTGATTTGAAAAGAAAAAGAAATAAAGATTTCACTAAAGTGGATCGGTAACAGAGTTAAACTGGCAGGAAAAAAATCAGTGAACTTTAAGACAGGTCAGTTGGGAACATCCAGCCTGAGAGACAGAAATAAAGAATAATAATAAAGGAAAAGCATAGTCCCAGAGAAGAGCGGAAGAACACAGGAGTGTCAACATGTGCATCATAGCAGCCCAAAGGGAGAGAGGGAGGGCAGAAAGGATATTTGAAGAAAGAAATGGCCCAAAATTCTCAGATCGGAGGGAGATACACATAGATTTAAACTGCAACATAGTGAGACTCAAAATGTTAGCAGATATGTACATTAACAAATTTATAGCATTTACATACAAATAAGTTATTAATACTATTGTCTTTTTTGGTAATCAAACTTTAAAAATTAAGTGTTACATTTTTATTTAAGTGAATCAAAATATGCTTTTATCAGACTTTTCTTTTTCCTATATTGTGATATTTTTCCTCTATTAAAATTGCCATATAAACATTATTTTTAGATATGACATATTAATATGGAAATCTGGTTGGGAAAATAAATGCCTGCGTAAAGGCATGTGTTTTCATTACAAACAAGAACAAAGAATCAGTAATAAATCTACATTCAAGGAATTTTGGAAATATTTTTATAAGGTTAATTGAAAAATATAAAACCTATTGCTTTTTTTATATGTAAAAAGATCAAGTGCAATATAATTTAAAAAATCAAACATACATGATATATAACATACAGTTCTACTAAGTAAAGTATTTATATTAAGATGGGAAGGGAGGACTGGATGAAAGAAGGTGAAGGGATTAGCCACAGGACATTTAGGCATAACCCACAGACACAACAGTATGGTGATGGCCAGAGGGAAGAGGGGCAGGGGCTGGGTGGAGGTGGGCAAAGGAGGGGAAACGGGGACGTATGTAATTATGTCAACAATTAAAAAAAAAGAATGTCTTCTCCGACACAAAAATAGTTGTTTTAAATTCTACTATAACAACAGTCCTATCTCAATACATCTTCACTAATTTTTCCTTCATAGGTATGTGGCTTTCACGAGTTTCTCATGAATGATGCTTGTGTGTGCATATACTTATATGTACACATGAGTGTACATGTTCATGTGGGGGTGGGAGTGAACATATTTATTGAAAAATGATTTTAAAAATAAGAATTATATATTCATGGATGATTCTTCTTCAACTATTATTCCCAGGTGTCATATTTTTAAGACTTTTGCTTTGTGGACTTAATTAATAGCTGGGGAAATGACTACAAGGAATTAGGAATTGTGTGGCTAGAAAGGTAAATATTTTCCCCAGATAGATCTGAGCTGTAGGAAACTATCTTACTGTTGATTCTGTATAATTAAAATATGGACCCTATAGAGGACTTTGCCTTCCCTGCAGCCTTCTTAAAGGCACCCTTGACCTCTTTGTTCCTCAGGCTGTAGACCACAGGGTTCAGCATGGGGACGACCATAGTGTAGAACACGGATGCGATTTTGTCGGTGCCCATGGAGTGGCTGGAGCTGGGCTTTAAGTACATGAAGATGCCTGTCCCGTAAAAGATGGAGACCACAGTGAGGTGGGAAGCGCAGGTTGAGAAGGCCTTTTGGCGTCCCTCAGATGAACGCATCCTCAGGATGGTGAGAAATATAAACAGGTAGGAGATCAAGATGACCAGGACCGAAAAGAGGTCATTGAAACCCACCACCAAAAAAATAACCATCTCGGTGACGTAGTTGTCTGAGCATGAGAGAGCCAAGAGAGGAGGAGCATCGCAGAAAAAGTGATCGACCACGTTGGACCTACAGAAGGAGAGCCTGAAAAGGTCCCCGGTGTGGACGGAGGCATTCAGGAGGCCACAGGCGTAGGAGCCTACGGCCAGACGCGCACACACCCCGGGTGTCATGGTGCTGGTGTAGTGCAGGGGCTTGCACACTGCTGCGTAGCGGTCGTAGGCCATGGAGGCCAAGAGGAAATTTTCCACAGTGATGAAAGCGACAAAGAAGAAGAACTGGGTGACACAAGCATTGTAGGGGATGATTTTCTCCCCTGTAAGGAACCCTGCCATCACCTGGGGAGTGACAGCTGAGGAGTAACCGATGTCCACCAGGGAGAGGTTGCAGAGGAAAAAGTACATGGGACTGTGGAGGCGGGGGTCGGACAGGATCAAGTGGACCATCCCCAGGTTCCCGAGCAGAGTGAAAAGGTAGACGAGGGAGAAGGTGATGAAGAGTGGGATCTGCAGGCTCGGGTCATCTGTCAGCCCCACAAGAAGGAACTCGGTCGCCTCGGTGCTGTTTTCCATGGAGATCAGTTGGGAGCTCGGTGGCTGCCCTGCAGCAGTGAGGAAACAGAGTCAGGGTGACTCGGGGGGCAGACTCTGCTGGCATCAGCCAGCATGTCCACTCGGGGTCTCATTTCACGACCGCAGCAGCGTGTTTCCAGAATTCTCTACATCTAAAGCGTGGCTATGACAATAAAATGTAGTTGTAGATTATTGATAGATCATAGAATATCCAGGTCAAAGGATTTAGAGATAATACGTCCTACTCTCCTAGTCTCATAGAACAGTGAATTAAGATAAAGAGGAGAAAAGAAAGGATGTCTGCAGGGTTATCGGGTTAGTTGCTCATGGAAGGAGCACAAACTCCCAATTCAAAGTTTACAGAATGACCACAAATTCTTCTTTATATTAAACCCAAACAGCTTGATAAAATTAATGTGAAATTGAATTAATTTTACTTCAGCTGGCTTTTTTTGATCTTTTCCACTGTGCCAAGAACAGTGTTCTATGATAGGGAAGGATAGTTAAATAAAACATGTCCTTAGCCTAAAATGCTCTCAGTATAGTACAGTACGCGGCACGTGCAATTAACCAAAAAAAAAAAAAAAATAGTAGAAATTCATATACAAGGAATAAAAACATCTAGAAAATAGCAGTTTTAACTTTTATTACATTAGTACAGTTTTAAACGTTTGCACTCAGATGTCCCTGATCTGGGGCCATGTTAAAGCCATGTTAAAAGATGAAAATCCCACCTCCACTACTTTGGGATATATTTCAAAAGTAGAGGCCTGGTATCTTGAAAAAGAGGCATGAGAGATAGAGAGGAGTGAACACAGACTCCAATTTTTGTATAGTGATACCCAGAATAGTGTAAAAGAAACAGATGTTTGGGAAAAGGGGGAAAAGAGATCCTTTCATTGAGTTTGAGATCCCTTTTGGGTAGTGAAGTAGAAGTCTTGCACGGTTGGATATACAGTCTGGAGTTTAGAGACGAGAACAGGCTGTAGCAGATTGATTAATTTGAACTATGTTGGTAAGTTCTAATGGTTCAATGCACATATATGTAATATTCAATCCACAAGACTAAATAACATCACCAAAGGCAAGAGTTTAGACAGACACAAACAGGAGTATTCTAATGTTACAAGATAAAAAAGATGAGATTGGTGGTAAAGGGGATGGGGAGAGACAATTGCCACCACTTGAGATGGCCACAAGGGAAGCACTGTCCCAGGACATAGACCAAGCAGGGAAAAGGCACTTTCAGGGAAAATGTTAAGTATATATTGGGTTATGTTGATGACTGACTATAAACTGCAAAGGGCACAGTGGGGTGACTTCAGGGGTTGGGCAGGAGCGGAAGCCAGGGTCAGTAAAGGGGATATACCAAGATGTTTAACGTTGCTTTGTAGGAGTCGAGGGCTGATACAACAACCCTCAGCTTCGTGCTGAGTGACATCATGATAAAAGTAACAATGGGATCAGTCCTACGGGTCTGAAGGTGAGGGTAGGGGTTGGAAAGGCAGTTAGACAGGTGAGGGTCGCGACAAGCATGGAGAATCCGGGGCAGAGCTCACTTCTGCTGTTACAGGTGTGAGGGCTACTCACCAGAGCAAGGGGACTAGGGTGTTCTCTTGGTTCCTTAGAACGATGCTCACTTAAATCAATAGCTCAGGTACAGATTTCTCAAATTCTGGTGGAAAAATCCATGTGCTAGAAATTATTTCAAAACTTTTTACCAACTTCCTTCTCTATGTGTGAAATCTTGGGTTTTAATCGCAGATCATCCTGGAGAAAAAAAAAAGAAAGTTAAAGTTTATTTTAGTCTTGAGAAGAAATTAAGAATAAATAAAATTAAGAAAAAAAGAAATGGTCAAAGTACTCAAGCTCAATCTTTAAATAAATCAAAGGAGAAATTATTTTTTTGATGCATTTTCTTGATTACCTTTATCTGTGCAAATTTATGCAGACAGTAGATTTGATCTAGTAGATTTAGAAGTTTATCTTACTCCCTGAATGATAGATCGTGCAAGCTCAGCACCTTCATTTGTGAGTGAATCCCCAATCAGAAATTCAGTCTGTGAAAAAGGTAGCCCTTTACTGGAGTGTTCTCCTTCAGTGTTTGGCCAAAGTGTTTCAGGTTCTCTAGAGGCAGGGAGAAACTGAAGGGAAAAAATGCTGTAGTCTTTGGGATCACCTAACAAGAGGTCTAGACCCAGATCTCTGCTCACTTTTCATAGGTAAATCACTTAACCTGTCTGAGTCTTGGTACGTTTGTCTATAAAACAGAGATAACAGAAAGGCAGCCCAATAACATCCTTCCTGAACACTGCTGCTATGGGAAGAAAGTAAGGACATCCCTAAAATACCTTATACCTTATACTTGGTCGCAATCACAGTCATCATCACTATTCTTCGGGGTTCTTTTCCCTCAATATTGTTGCTTCCTCTTAGAAATATCAGTTTGGGGGAAGGTCATTATGGCTTCTAGGTAACTATTTAAAAATTAGATGCATAAACGAATGGCTGAAGGAACTCTGGTTCTTGGGCTGCCAAAGGGCGTTATGGGGATCTGGAAAGGTTAAGGAATGACAACCAGAAGGAAGTTATATAGCCATGGGACTCTCAGGGGACAATACCCTATGAGAGTTACAAGGCTCTTTATCTCGCCTAACTGGGAACAAGCGATTCACGTGTCTATGGGGGATCCAGCTCTGCTTGTTGAGGGAGATCATGGGTTCGTTTACACCATTTGCAGCAATTCTCCTTGATGAAGCAGGAGGCCAGCTACTGTGTGACCCCCGGGGCTGGAGACAAGGGCTCTGTCATCAGATAAGACAAGGGGAGCCCAGGACTTAGTGCTTCACTTAATTCGTTTAAAATGTTTGTACCATTGAGAAAAACTATCAATTCATTCAACTCTTGATTGATCCCAAATGTGTTTAAACCATAACGAGGAGTCCTGAGACTACAGACCCATGCAAAATAAACAGAATTTTTGCATTCATGGTGCTTCAGTCTAATGGAGAGGACAGACACTAAGCAAGTAAACACCGAGAAGCATATAATTCCCCGTAGAACAAAATGCCCTGTTCTATATGGGATTATATATGTTAATGATATAGATATAATTATATATATTAATTATATATAGAATAAGCATGTGATCAGACCCGTTTCATTTTCGTCTGCACTAATTTCATTAATCTGTGCAAGAGATGATAAAGGCATTCACACTTTATGCTAGTCCAGTATTTCTTTCCTGTGTCAGAATTTATTTCAGTCTTTGTAGGGTTTTTTTCCTATTGCTGCTGATATGAAGGTTCAAAATTCTCTTAAAGAACGAGATTTTTTAATTCCTAAGAAGACATAGCATCTCTGCAAAGTTCAAGCCTCCGGATTGGTGTCTTTGATTTTCTGTGCACTTATGTGCTCATCAAATTTTGAAAGGAAGCTCATGAACCACAATCACAGAAAAAGGTTAAGAACCACGGCTTGGGCGATTATGACTAAAGCGCGGCTGCTCTGTTTATGAGGATGTGGGATTTGGGGCCTTCCTTCCCAGTCTGAGATTTTGTATTTAATGCCAGTTACCACCTAGATTTTCTTTCTGTTAAAGCTCTGTGGGACGCTGGTATCATTTTATAAGTCCTAAAAATAATTCTGCGTTATCAAAAAAATTTGAAAGTTTGGCAACAATATTTAAGACATGCTACCATCAAATGCCTATTAGCCAATTAAAGATGCTGAGAAGTATTGCAGTAAAAAAAGCTGTTTAACTGTAAATTGTTCTAGAAAATGCTTTTTCCTATGTAAACATATTATAATGCTCTCCACAGCGGTAGTGTTTGGGAGGGGAAAATTCCCTATTAGAAGTGTGTAATCCATGAAATTCCTACCAAATGCCCCCCAAAGAAGCAATGTCTTTCAGAGTTACACACTTCATGCCAGCTTCTAGGGAGTTGTTTATAATTTTCCCACTTTCATGATTCTCTCTCTTGGCTTCAGCATTCAACGAGAACTCACTTTGTCATGTTTACCTTCCAAATACCATCAAAATGTCAGGGATGCGTTAGTTGTTAGTAAATACTTTATGAATAAACGAGTAGCTCAGAACCTTTCGTTTGTTTCATTGGTGGGGAGTAGAGTGACCAACCATTCCCGTTTCCCCAGGACCCAGGGGTTTCCTGGTACTTGGGACTTCAGTGCCAAATCAGCAAAGTCCCAGGCGAACTGGCTCGAGTCGGTCGTGCTAGGCCGTGGCGATCCTTATTTGTCGATTTTTTTTAGTTATCTTATGTGTGCATGCTCTCCCTGTTGGGAACTGAGTTCAACACTGGCCACGAATTATTTTGTTTAATCCTTGTAACAATCCCAGGAAATAGGTATTTTTTTTTTTTGGTCTCCATTTCCCTGCTGAGGAAATTAAGCCAAAGGCGTCCTGCCTCGGCTAAGAAGACGTAGCCTTAGCCTGCCTCTGGCTCTGGAGCCTCCGCCCTTAACCACTTCTGTCTCCTGCCTTCCAGGATGAATTCTGCAGGGACAGCAAAGGGAGTAGGTCATGAAATCCATCTTTGAAAATAAGCTCTCAGTAATTCATGTAGAAAATAACGCAGGCAAACATCACCCACTCCCTGCTGAGTGAGAGGGGGCGGGAGAGAGAGAGAAACCTGGAAAGCCATAAGCTTGACAGTAAGCCAAGAGGTGAGTGACTTTGAATGTGAGCCTTTAATATGTCCTAAGCAGGCCAAGCAAGCTGAGGGCCCTTTTAGCTGTGAGCTCTGAAATGCAATCGCATGGCCGGGTGGCCTAGCTGGTGAGGAGGCTTCCGATCTAAGTGAGAGTGCACTCCACCGACCGTGCTTGGGGAAGGCAGCCGGGGTCCTGGGGGGCTGAGCGGGAGAACTAGCTGGTGCTGTGAAGTGGGGGATAGAAAATCTGGGGTCTGGCCTCTGCGCTGCCACTCCAGCAATACGACTCGGAAAGAGCTACTTAAGGCTTTTGTGCCTCAGTTTCCT